TATCACCTCTAAACGATATTTCTAGGGTGACAGGACAACAATGTTTAAGACAGACTTTGACGGAAAAAAATGGTCCCCCAAAGTAGAAACTCACCTGTGATCACTGACACACAAGTAAGAAAACCTGTGATTTAGGAAACTGACTATACCTGTGATTTGCAATTAGCCTAGCTGCACAAACATGGTTATAAAATTACCTGCAAACAACCAAACCTTTCTTACTTGGGCTGTTTCTATTTACACGACTGCATCCTGGGTCTCCGTGGCAAAGAATTACCCCGGGAAATATCCATTTGTGAGTTTCCACAACGATAGAGAAGGATACAGAAAGACTGGTGACCAAGTCGAAATCAGTCAAAGCACAGCTATCAGGAGGCGCAGAAAATGTCACTAAGCAGATTTGCAGTAGCCGCTTAAGCTGTGGACGGCGCACTACTTGCACCATCTAACTCTGAAAAACAGACAGATAAGTGCTTCAGGCTTGGCACAATGGAAGTTTCTGTGACAGGTCAGACAGTGTGAAAGGCATTGCATAGCTTTAGCCTCTACGGACAGCATTGAATAATAAATAAAAAAAAAACTGCTTGCTCTTTGGCACAAAACTGCAAGCTGAAACTCTGATAAAGAACACTAAATATGGGAACACATTCTTTGGTCAGAGAAATTGTCGGGCTCAGACGGGTGCCAGCATGTTTGGTGTGAGTCCGACCAGGACTACCCCAGTGAACGCATCGTCCCGACAGTGAAGCTCACAGGTGGGAGCGTAATTACATCGGGCCGCGTGAGTGTCGAAGGTGTCGCGAAGTTTACATTGACAGATGGCACCGCGGTTGCCTGTGGATATACCGAAATTACTGGCTGACGAGTTGACTCCTAGTCAACAGAAACTTGGCAGAGTGGGGAAATTCCAGCATGGTAACGATCCAAAGCACACTGCCAAAAATCACACAAGAGTTTCTGGAGAGAAAGCTGTGACCAGGCTAAGTCTGTCACCCGACTCGAATCCAATAAAACACCTTTGGTTTGTATTTTCAAGAGAGAGGCAGAGAAACACAGCCCCTCCAAAGACAGCTAAAACAAATAGTCAGTGGTAAATGGTAGAGCAACACTCCAAAAAAAAAAAAATCTATGCTAAGGAAGACTGAATCTGTCTAAAGCACTGAAACAAAAGGAATTTAAATCTTGGTGACAAAAGGTGACCTGACTTTTTTTTTTTTTTTGCATTGAGGTCCGCCTGTGTTTTTAGCATCGTAAATCTGAAGAGCAAATACTTTCTGTTTAAAGGAATTTGAATTACTGTAAGATGACACAACTTTGAATCACATTTTAGCAATATTGTGCATATTAGTAAGATGTCTATTGTGCCTATGGTATGCTGAGTGAGTAGCTTCAACATCTTGTCTGGCAGACTACAGAGGATAAAGCAGTGTATAGATAATGCATGAATGGATGTACTGGATAGAACAATACTGAACATCACATCATTTGATCAGATAACTCTATTGTTCAGCATATCCTTCACTGATGCTTCCCATAAGGTTTGAAGGTTTCTGCGAGCAGGTACTCACGACATAGTGCTATTGCTGCATGTAACATTTAATGATTAAAATGATTGTTTTTGCTGACCTTCCCTTTTAAAAGCTCTCATCTTACCTCATTAACGTAATAATGTTCCTATTGTGTGCTCAGTGCGCCCAACAGGGAGGCTGTGTTTTGGCAGAACTGACTTGATAAGCAGCATGTAATACTTTGTACATATAAATGTCTCTGTGCCTGCTGGGATGAGCCAAAGAGTGACCCTGAAAAAAATAGTTGAATGTTTAGACAGTTAAAGGAAATGTGCTGGGCAGCAAAACATCTGCACCTCAGTGTGCATTTTGAACAGCTACAGGATATACTGTGCTGCCAAAAGTATTCGCTCACCTGCCTTGACCCACATATGAGCTTAAGTGACATCCCATTCCTAATCCATAGGGTTCAATATGACGTTGGTCCACCCTTTGCAGCTAGAACAGCTTCAACTCTTTTGGGAAGGATGTCCACAAGGTTTAGGGGTGTGTTTATGGGGATTTTTGACCATTCTTCCAGAAGCGCATTTGTGAGGTCACACACTGATGTTGGATGAGAAGGCCTGGCTCTCAGTCTCCGCTCTAATTCATCCCAAAGATGTTTTATCGGGTTGAGGTCAGGACTCTGTGCAGGCCAGTCAAGTTCATCCACACCAGACTCTGCCATCCATGTCTTCATGGACCTTGCTTTGTGCACTGGTGCACAGTCATGTTGGAAGAGGAAGGGGCCATCTCCAGACTGTTCCCACAAAGTTGGGAGCATGGAATTGTCCAAAATCTCTTGGTATGCTGAAGCATTCAGAGTTCCTTCCACTGGAACTAAGGGGCCAAGCCCAGCTCCTGAAAAACAGCCCCACACCATAATACCCCCTCCACCAAACTTTACACTTGGCACAATGCAGTCAGACAAGTACCGTTCTCCTGGCAGCCGCCAAACCCAGACTCGTCCATCAGATTTCCAGTTGGAGAAGCACGATTCATCACTCCAGAAAATCTGTCTCCACCGCTCTAGAGTCCAGCGGTGGCGTGCTTTCCACCACTGCATCCAACGCTTTGCATTGCACTTGCTGATGTATGTCTAGGATGCAGCTGCTCGACCATGGAAACCCATTCCATGAAGCTCTCTACGCACTGTTCTTGAGCTAATCTGAAGGCCACATGAAGTTTGGAGGTCTGTAGTGAGTGACTCTGCAGAAAGTTGGCGACCTCTTTGCACTATGCGCTTCAGCATCCGCTGACCTCGCTCTGTTAGTTTACATGGCCTACCACTTCGTGACTGAGGTGCTGTCGTTACCAAACACTTCCATTTTCTTATAATACAGCCGACAGTTGACTGTGGAATATTTAGGAGCGAGGAAATTTCACGACTAGACTTGTTGCACAGGTGGCATCCTATCACAGTACCATGCTGGAATTCACTGAGCTCCTGAGAGCGACCCATTCTTCCACAAATGTTTGTAAAAACAGTCTGTCTGCCTAGGTGCTTAATTTTATGCACCTGTGGCCATTGAAGTGACTGGAACACATGATTCCGATAATATGGATGTCTGAGCAAATACTTTTGGCAATATAGTGTATGTAGTGGATGACTGCATTCT